GAGAGCCTTTACCTTTAGGAATCTTAACTCCTTAAAAGAGGCTTCCCTTTATAAGAGGGTGAAAATCCCTTGAGTTTTCCGATGTGGGATAAAACACACTAGAAACCCATCATTTTCCCAGTTTTTTCATTTCAACGAGTGAACTTCGAGAAACAATTTCTCATTCACCCGTTATCCGTTTTGAGCGTACCATATATCGAATTGTAGCCCTTAACAAGGAAAATCCGAAACCACTTTAATCCGACCCAAATCGGAAGTGGACCCCACTCAAATAATTGACTCAAAATGACCATTTAATGCAATTTTTAACACATTTTTTCAACAGCAATTAATTAAAAAATTAAAATTTACGGTAATAGAAAATTAAGAGTAGAAGTAATCTAGCCAAGTAGAGCACTACACCCGTAGATGGACCAATTGTCCAAATCTAACGTTCTATTCAGTAGTGCTGGACGTTACGCTTCCGGTTCTACAAAATAGTACAAGTATTAGTAGTTCGGGTTGTAGGGATTTTTGGTGTTGAAGATTCAACCTTTTGAAACATAACACAAGTACTATAGTGATGCGGCCCGCTCCTAATCAAGATGAACAAGAAAATTGTGGTAAAATATGTTAGAAAGAAGCATTGTTGTGTTGAAGAAGAAAATGCATATTTATAACTCAATCCCAAAATTATGTTACTTTTACACCATTTTTTATAAGACTCCTTGCTTATCAAGTTGACGATGCTTATTAGATGATAAAAATATTTTTTTCTTAAAAATAATTAACCAATATGAATATTTCAAATTTGTAAATGAAGAAACTACACTAGTATAGATTCATTTTATAGCCCAGTAGCCCATCATAATAGCTTTTCCTTATGAGGGTATCATCATTCTTATCAAGCTTAATTCCTCCAATTCAAATCAAACTCGATAAAAACTGTCATACCTTCTATTGTTAGTAAGATTTTCCATTAATATACTCCATTCGTCCTTTAAAACTTTGTCAAGTTTGATCGACACGAAAATTAATAAAGTAAAAATCATGTGATTGAGGTTTGTGCAAAGGAAAGTTGACAAAGTATTAAGAGACAGGAGGATATATTAAATTGAATCTGACCCGACCCAAATCCAATTGCTCCCCTTTGAAAAACCTCAAGATCTGCCACTACTATTCACTCGTACTCTCGCTCTAATTGATGGCCTTATTTCAGCTTTTAATGTTGATTTCCATTTTTAATCAATTTTAAATATGTCTTTCTAAAGAACCAATTTTCAAAGCAATATTGTCGTGTCTTAAAGATCGAGTTTTGATTTCTGCATATTTATTTATTTTATTCAATTATCCAACCCTCTTTTAACATGAGAAAATATATGAAGCACACATGTTCACTATGGAGTACACTAGCGTGATGAATGATCGAGATTCATTCATCTAATGTGTTCACACAAACATACACCTTAGTGAGCACTCTAATGTGTTCCATATATTTCATCCATTTAAGATGTTGGGCTACTTTATAAGCTGAAGTTTTAAATATCACATTGTCATTTGAAATGGAGTTTTAGCTAATGCGTATTTTTATATAATCCCTTGCAATAAAAAATGTTTGTGCATATCGATTTACACTCCCAATCATTTCATCACATATCAGACCACACTTTAACACTTATAGAATACACATAAAATATAAATCTATTAGAGCAGGGCAGATCAAATCAGACCATTCTAGAAATAAACATATCAGATTAGACTAGATCAGATCAAATCAGACTAGAAAATTATACTTCAATTAAAATCATCCCTAGCACTTTAATATTTATCTTTTCAAAATGACTTTTCTTTTCAAATAATACCAACTTTTACTTTTAATCACCTTTTGTATAGTTTCTAAAATTAATCAATCTACAAAAGTAGTTGTAAATGCAAACATCCCCAAATTCTTAGTTTATTGTGCAATTGGACTTCAATATGTCAAACATGGATCCGGTGATGAAAACCTAGTATAAGTGTGAAAAAATGAAGTGGATAAGATTGACATATCGTCATGACCAACGGATCTAAAATATTTGAAGTACATCTAAAATATGTACAATCATAACGAATGCCATCCATTTTATTTTACTGCAAGTATTTTGCAGTTGTCACATTGTTTCCAAAGTTACTTTGGTGCCCTTTGGATAACAGCGGATGGAGCAAACCGCTAATCAATTAAAACATCATAACGCTGCAAAATGCAGCGGTTTGCTACCCACCCGCTAAAAAACAAACGAAGCCTTTGTGTGTTTATGAATTGGACTGGGAAGCTTAACTACTAATGATCCAAATAAGCCCAGCCTGTTCATATATTAAAAACGTCAATGAAGTCCCTCAACTAAAGAAACATTTCATTGTAACTATGAACTTTAAAAAAACACATATGGTAATACGAACAGGTTAGCAACCCTTAGCCATATTGGCTTCAACCTACTTGGCCTCCAAACTGGATGATAAACCTTAGTTAAATTACCACTATTTATATTTTTGTTTCTTCTCTTGCCTTTCATTTTTTCTTCTGTTTCGTTTGTCTGTTCTCTCGGTCATTTTCTTTCTTCTCTTCTGAATCTTCTATTTCTGACGACAACAAGCTTTGAGATTCATCATTCGATAAAAGTTCTCCAAGCTCTTACCTGTAAGACAGTAAGAATTCCAAGGAGATGAAAGCATGATGATTATGATTTTGCAAAAATGTTAATAACAGATTAAGTTGACGGATTGCAAAAATGTGGGTGGTAATTTAGTTGTTTAATAGGTTAGGAGGTATTGTCTTATTTCAAAACGTTAAACTCAAAGCGCTGCTTGCAACATTTATATTTCAGAGATCCGATAAAAAGAACGCAAAGATTAGTAAACTATTTATCAAATAACATGGATCAACATTGTCGCTTATTAAAAATTCCGAAAAAATCAAACAACTCTTATTTGATTAAAACTTCATTTTCCAAACACTAACCTAATCTATTTTTTTTTTGCAAACACTCAACCAATGTTTTTAGTTATCAAAAGTGTTAATGTAATGATGCAAAATAGATTGTCTAATCCCAGCTAATCCCACTACCACCGGCATATGTATCTCTAACTGTAGCACTAACACAAACATTTGAAAAACTAGCACCCGAACTTATCATTGCTTTAATTCGGGGATTCTCAACTGACATTCCCTAATAATAATAACTAGAAAAACAAAAATTATCAATTCAAATTATTATAAATTCATAATTTAATATCAATAATACGTAATTTACAGCCATCTTAATATAATGAAATTATTAAGTAGAAAACTAGAAAACACTAAATCATTAATACTAGTACACAGTAAACACTAGTATACACTAAACATAATTAATATGTAATTTACAAAAATAGACAATAAATCATTTACTAGTACACACTAAATGTGTACATATTTTTCAAATCATAATTATGAATTGCAAAATTCAATAATGAAATACCAAATAATTAATTTATTTAAAACAGGAAAAAATGGGCAAACTTAAAGGAAGAGCGGACTGCGGACGGCAGGACAAGCACGACGGTCGATGACCTGGTTGTCTGTGGCAACGTGGCTGCTGGCTCTACGCCTCTGTTGCTGGGCTGCTTGTGCGTTGGGAGTTGTTGGGAGGTTGGTTGCCAATTGGGATTTTGGAAAAAAAAAAAAGAGTAGTTGATGTAAATTGGGAGGGTAAATTGGACTATAATCTCAACAGATAGAGAGTGGTTGATTTGTGCGTTGCTTTAGTGAGTTGGTCTCATGGTTAGCCTGATTTAAGGCTTTGGGTTGTTGGGCCTTAGCACTTGGCCCAATCGGTCATGATTCTTTCTTTTTGTTGGCCATCATCAAAACGTCGTCGTCCCAATTAAAAAGAAAAAACCCCACCCAGACGGCTAGACCTCATCTAATCGTCCCTGTCCTGCAACCCACACCTTGCTCGCAGAAAACTATGCACCCACCCGACAGATCCACACCTGCCCATCTTCTACCTAACTCGTACGGCTGAAGCAGGGGCACCAGGCCCCTGTCACCTCTTGCAAATCCACACCTGGTTTTGGGTAGGGATGGACCGGACCCAGGTTAACCGACCCGTTGAGCAGTCCGGCCCACTACTGTTCTGAACAGGTCCGAACCGGTAGGCCTGGGTCGGGACCGAGCCCGAACCGGGGTGGATTTGGGGCGGCCTATGGGCTGCCATTTTGATGGACCGGCCAATCCGGGACTAGTCCGTGCCAATTTTTTTTTTCCCCGACTGGATGGGTCATTTGGGTGTTTGGCGGGTGGGGCAGGGTGGTTTAGGGTGGTGGGGAGTATGGATGGACCCGGGATGGGCCGATTCCAGATCCAATCTGGGCCCGGTCGGGCTTTTTTTGGGAATCGGTGAACCGGGTCAGGCCGGTTCAATTTTTTTTATTTCTTATTTATTTCAGCCACCCCCCATCCCCCAAACACCTCGGAAATACCCAGCCCAGCCCAACTAAACCCAGCCCAAACCCCAAAAAACAAAAACAAATACTCCGTAAAAAAAGGCCTGAACCGGACCGGTTCACTAAATTAAAGGCCCATACCCGACCCACCCAAATTCCCGAGCCAGGCCTAGGCTCAGAACCGGTTACCCAAGACCGGGCCGGTTCACGGGCCGGGCCGATTCACGGGCCGGTGTCAGGCCTCCAGTTCATGAACCCAGTCCCGCTCAAGACCCGACCCGGACCCGGTCCCGCTCAAGACCCGACCCGGACCCGATCCCGACCAGGGCTTGGTCTATCCCTAGTTTTGGGTGAGAAAACTTTATGAATAATTGAACGGCACCACAAGAGCAGTTTACCAGGAAACCAATTAGTCACCATCTAATTTGGTGATTTAGAAGTTTTACTACTTCAATGGGATCCATTGGGTGATTTTGGAATATGGGAGCTCAATGAATGTTTTTTATACTAAACAAAATTGAAAGACAATTAATCACCCGGTCATAAATGTGTTGATAGTCGAAGATGGAAGAATAGGTCAATACTCAATATAATAAGATACCAAAACCAAACAATGTATAGGAAATTTGTGTGAGCTGCTTCACGACCATTACAGAATTTCATGAAAAAAAGAGAATTGATTGTTTCTGATTTACAAGAATCTACTTTATTCACCAACGTAAACAAGCAAAGCACAAATGTTCAGCAATTATTCTCAGTCCAACTAAAAAACCAAGGAAATACAATGTAGCAATTCAACACAACCTGCAAAATGGTTCTACTGTACAATAAAAGAAGAGTAGAGCATCTACACACTCCCCGGCAACAAATCAAAACAGGGGATTAATAATAAGAATGCAATCACAAGGGTGGTGGTAATTAAGGCCTGAAAGAGGAATACTCCTTCCGCCTGTTGTTCCTGAAAGCGCAGCAACCCACCGAGTAGACAATGATGAGGATGACGAGGAAGGCGATGTTGATCTTTGCCACCTTCTTCCAGTCCGTCTTGATGTTGTCGATCAGCCCGGCTTTGCATGACTGGCAGCTGTAGCACAAGGCTTTTGGGTCGTTGCTCCAAAGATCACAGTCCGCATTTTGGCGATTGGGCTGAGAAGTCTTGATCCAGTTTGTTGGGCTCACGTATGTGAAGTTGCAGTCGCTTGATGGCTTGCAGCAGCCGGACTGCAGTTTTAGTATAGTTTAGTTTAGTTACATTCAACATCGTGAAAAGAACAAAATATCATTATTATTAAATATACTCCTTCCGTAAATATATTGAAAAGGATTTTCATCAAGTTGACTTGTAAATTTTGGGAAGGTATGAATATTTCAAACAACCAATTTCGGATATGCTTTAAATTTGTAAGTCTGATTCACTAACAAACATATTTGGTCAGCTCCTTTTTATCACTAATTCACATTATTCAAAGAAAACTAGCCTCTTTTATTGAAATACGAAGTATGAGTTTTTTAGATAGATAAGTTACCAAAGCTGATTTTCTTGGCAGATGAAGTACTTATATTATAGGTTCCCACGGTCCCACTAACATATAGGGAAAATACAATAAAACAAATATACAATCCTACCCTCCAAATTTTATAAACCAAGCAAATCCTTTATCTTTGGTAGACGGTCTATTTTAAAAGTTTTTTAAGCTTCAAAAGAATCAAAACAACTTTGACAGCAATTAATTCGCAATTCACGAGATGCTTCCAAACATATCTGCATCCAATTAACGTTACATCATAAGCAACGAACTAACGTCCACAAAAAGCATACTGCGTATTATTTAATGCTAAATAAGATAACGACTAGTCACAACATTCTCAATTATCTGTAAATACACTGATCAACTGGTATACCACACGGGTTAGGTTCCGGGTTCAAATCCCGACAACGGCAACTGCGATGAGGGATTATTATGGTAAAAATGAATAGGATCTCTGCAAGCACCGTGACAGAACCCCACTCTCTATCTGTTAGATTGGTATTATAGTCCAATTTAGATCCTCCAAACATACCGTCCTGTCAGGGTTGGGGCCCTCAGGGATTGGTTGTCATTATACCGATCGTAATAAACTCTCAAAATTATGGGCTTCCAAAAATCACTTGTTAGTTTTTCACTAAAACAAAAATTTTGAAATCAATTCAAAAACAGATTCTTCCCATGTTGCTTGGAATAAGTGAACCAGTTTCAAAAATCCAAGAATAAAAACTTCCAAATAAATTTTCTTGAAACTGCAACACAATGTCCATAGAAACCAGCTTATTATGGGGGTTTTAAATTAAATTCCTAAACATGTGTTCAAGAATGATAGTGGTAGAGATTGAGCTCTTTTAAATGCCACTAGGCTATTTTACATCTTATTGGGTCAACGTCAAATTCTATGGAGTTGCTTGTAATGATTCGTGTGACTTATAAAATTAATATCCAATTTGGATATTAATTTAATATGGATCCATTTGGATATAATTAATTAATTTGGATCATTTAAATATCCAATTAATTTAATTAAATTCTTTGAAAAGAATGGGCCGGTCCTATTAATTTCTTTATTTTCAGCCATTATCAAATATTGGCCCAATAAATAAGAGACATGACCACTATATGAAGAGGATGATGAATCTAGTCAAGAAATCAGTCCATATGCGTGGAAAATGGCTGCGAACCTTTTTAAAAAGGTTGTCCAGATACATCGAACAAGTACAAGTGCTGATTTTTCTGACTATTAAATTAGAGGCCAAAACCCATTTTATTTAAGGCCAAAGGGATATGTGTTTTGGACGAATTTCCAAAACCCTAGAGCATATTTTCATCCTCCACAAGGGGAGAGAATTTTCAGACGAAGAAACGTTAAAGAAAAGCTCTCAAGAACTCCCAAAAGGCTTTGAACGATTCCGAAGAAGAGGAATAGATCAAGCCACGATTTTTATTAAGAATATACGAATAATCCTTCGTGATTTCGTCAATTCTTAATAAAATAAATCCAAAAGTTAAAGAACGTTCGAAGATCTGAAGAACAAAGCTTGAAGATTCGAGGATCTGAAGAACAAGACTTTGAAGATTCGAAGATATGAAGAACGAATCTTTAAAGATTTGAAGATGCTCATATGAAGATTGAATTGAAATTCAATTGAAGATCAAGCCATATATCCTGGAAGGCCCTTAAACAAAAGATAAAACCATAAAACGACCCTTTTGTGCAAGATCAAGCCACTTGAAAAACAGAGACCCTTCAAGTTGAATTCTTAATTCAAGAAGATTTGAAGATCCGACGAATGAAGATTCGAAGATCTCAAGAACAAAGATTCGAAGATCTGAAGAACGTTCGAACGTTTGAAGGATTAAAGATTTAATTTTAAATTGATTTCTTTAATTATATTCATGTCAAATTACAAGTGAAAAATAAGAGAATTCATATTTAGAGATTATACCCAATATTCTCACATATTATTATTTGCGATCAATTTTAAGCGAATACTTAAAATTTGTTCCACAGATAGCTAAATTAAAAAAGGCATGAAAATGGGAAAAGTATACCTGAAGGGAAGAAAGGCGTTCTTTGTAGAAATTGTCCTCGCCAATCTTATCATCAGCCAACTTCTGGCAAACCTTACTGTCCTGGAGGCAGTTACTGATACGATCCCAGTTTTTATTAACCCTCTTCTGCAACCAGTGAGAGTAATCCCCAAACCTATACTCCTTATACCCTTTCCCAGAAATCGCTTCACCCGCCCCTCTGTTGGTGACCACAAACGCGAAGATTGTGAAGCTGAAGAGGACCACGATGAGGACGAAGACTCCAGCGAGGTAGAACCAGAGAAGCCACGAGACTCTGCAACACGCGCCTATGATTCCGGCGAGTGAGAAGAGCAACAGGATGACTCCGACGGCTATCACCGGCTTCTCGAGGAACCGCTCGCACTCCGTGCTGGACTGCTTGGAGAGCCAAACGCCGGCGACAATGATCGGGATGGAGATCAGGAATGTGAGAACGTTGAGAATCCCGAGCAGACTGTTGCTCAGTTTCACCATTTTCGGGAAACTTTGTGGGTGATTACCGAAAAGTGGGACGTTGATTTTGCTGGGTGGCGGCGAATCTAAAGAAAAAGGTGAGAAATTTGTAGAGGGTTTCAACTTTGAAGACGAAGAAGAAAAGGCGTTGAAAAGAAAGAGTCCTTTTGGAGGTGTGAGTGGGGAAGGTTAATAAAGGGACGAAGAAGAAGAGGGGAAGGGGAAATATCTGGTGGGAACGCGTGTGGACGCGTGAATGTGAAACGGAATCGACTGAATTGGCGAGGCCACATTTGTTTGTTGGCGAGTTGAATTTACGATACGGCAGTAGTTTAATTACTGTCAAATAAGTCTATTTTTAATAAAAGCTCAATTTAATTCATGTACTTTTTTTTGAGTCAATTAAATTCACCAATTATTAAAAAATAACCAAATCAGTTTTTTAGTAGGTAATCTAGATAACCAAGTCAATTCGGTTACCTGGTTAAACGCCTACGTGGACGTCCGAGCTGACATTTTTACTGTTTTCCAATTTTTCTATTTTTGGGAAAACTGTCAAATAGGTCCACGTACTTTTAGCAAAAATGTCAATTGAGTTTATGTACTTTTTTCCGAGTCAATTAAGTCCACCAACTATATGAGATTATAAAATTTCAAACTAAATGGCCATGTCTTTTACCCATCTATGAGGTTGGCGTGCTCTATATATATTTCGAAACATTTGGATGGATCAATTTTTTAAAGATAACACGTTATTAATTATGGTAATTCAATGTAAAATCACTTATGTAATAAATACTAGGAAGTATAATGATTTAATCTGATAATTGTCCGTCTTCTATGTGCAGTCTTTATTGTTTTACAAATTAGACATTATACATACTAGACGAAGTACCCGTGCGATGCATGGGGTATCTAGAATAGAAAAAAAAATGAAATTATATTTTATTACGATAATACATGATGTGTATTTTTATCAAATATAAAAAGATAATAGAGTTTATATGTTGTAGCTTTGGTCATTACGGAACGGAGTATATAATAGTGGCTATATGAAAATAAATTTTAGCTCATACGAAAATTTGCAAGTAAAAATTAAAATAAATGATAAGATGTAACAATAAACTCTATATGGCATTGGAATCAATAAAACGCAAAAGTACATGGACCTAGCTACTTGACAGTTTTCCTTATATTAAAAACAAAATGAAAATAGGATATTGTATCTGCATCACTCAAACAAAATGAAAATAGGATATTCATGCAATTGTTGTGGTTTCAATTTTTTTGGCAAAATTGTTGTGGTTTCAATTAAGTTCTAACGATTTACTTTGAAAAATAGTGTGTAATTTCCAAGATATTTAAATTAGGGTTGTATTCTACTTTCACAGTAAAATAGAATTATTCAAATTTGTATAAAAATAATAAATCCATTGGTATGTGTTTTGAAATTATAGTTAATAATGGTGTAGTTTAGGATGTTTTAAAACTAACTAAAATTTGGTCGTTCTTCGATAGTTGGTGGACTTAATTGACTCGGAAAAAAGTAGATGGACTCAATTGACTTTTTGTTAAAAGTACGTGGACATATTTGAACGTTTTCCCAAAAATAAAAAAATTGGAAAACAGTAAAAAATGTCACCTCAGACGTCCACGTGGGTATTTAACTGGGTAACCGGTTGATTACCTACTAAAAAGCTGATTTGGTCGTTTTTTGATAGTTGTTGGTCTTAATTGACTCGGAAAAAAGTACATGGACTCAATTGACTTTTTGTTAAAAGTACGTAGACCGATTTGACAGTTTTCCCACAAAAATTTGTTCATTTGTGGGATGGCGGTGACATTTTTTTTAAGGAAAGAGCTTATATTACAATCAAACGAGTTATTACATCAATCAAGTTCCAAAACCAAATACTCCCACTAGACCCACAAAACCAAAAGTCCATTGACCCCTTTACGTCATTCTCAGGCATAGAATAGTGTGACACAGCTCCCGATTGAACTTGGATTATTTATCCATTAAAATTAAAACTTAATTAAACTATAAATACTAATCAAAACAAGAATGATTAGTAGAGTTAATGAGTATAATATTCATTTTGAAATAAGTCATTAGCTATATTAATCATATGAGAAGTGATTAATTGATTTAATTAATAACGATTAATTAAATGATGTATCGACCCCGAAACATGGGGAGGAAGTAACTGTGATGTTCATGGTCCATATTATTTATTCATTAGTCCATGAATAATGAATGGACTGATATATAGAGGTATGAGCAAAAATAATAGTGTAGGAGCAACCCAATAGATGATTGGGGGCCAAACATACTAAAAATAGAAAATAACGGGTATATGGCCCGAATTATTGGGGAGGACTAACCAATATATTTTGAGGTCAACTATTAATATTCAAGAGCTCAATATAATATAAATCAAGGTATATATATCTTGGATGGGCTGAAATAAATTGTAAAGGGAAGCCCATGAACCAAACCCAACCCATTAGGCCCAAGAGCCCAACCTCCCAATTTAGAAAGATAAGAGGGAGACCATCCTTCTCCTCTCATTTGGGAGAACCATACGTAGGAGCTAAGAGGGGGATAAGAGAGCTCAACCAAGCTTGTAAGAACGAAGAGAAAGGAGAAGAAGAAAGAAAGGGATTCCGGAGGAGAAGAACGTGAACTAGCGGTAACAACTCTATACTCCCGGTTTCATTTTATCCATTTTATATACTTTGTATATATGGATTCGTTTGATTCATTTGATGGATTATAGATGTTGTTCTACACGTTTATAAGTGTAGGAAAAGGTTATAAAGTGTTGGTATTTAACTTAAAAGAGTCGTTGAATCGATAGGAGTTGAAATCGACGCAAACCGCCATAGAAGGGTGTTGTTTTCGTGATGCAGGGCCCGAAAGCCGCCCAACTTTTGCAAAAGCCGTCCGGCTTTTGCCTTCTGCCCAGCTGGTTCATTTTTGATCGGCTCAGAACGGGGATAACCGAAGGACTTCACAAAGGCAGCTAGTTAAGCACATCATAAGGTGAGGATGGCTGACTATATTGTTTATAACTAGTGGGTTAATTCATGAGATTACCTGATTTATGAAAGCATGATTTTTAATTGATTAATATGCCTAATAAAGTGTCAATTGCTCGTATTGTTGTATATGAAGAGTTGATGCATGATTGATTGAACTATGAGTAATTGGAGCATGATTACTTGCTATATTTGAAATATTGTTCTAGTTGATTTAGTGAAGAACTAATAAAATGATTTATTAATCACTATTTAATCGTATTGACTTTATGGTTAGTAAAGTCAATATAGAATGAAGTGAGAACGAGTCCAGCCATGGCCGCCATCTTCGTTTGAAAAGGGAAAGATAAATTGAACTAAGATCAACTCGGGCAGTACTAAGTGACTAGCCCGAGGTTGTAGCATGAACCTTAATAAAATTGATCCTAAAATTAGGATTGTGATGCTTTGTGACTAGGGTATTCATTTGGGATAGCCTTAGATGATTTAAATAATATATTGATCCTATGATTGGATTGTTGATGTTATTTTCCGGGTAATCTTTAGGACACCCGTATTTGATTGTTTGATTGGTAGCAAGGGTCATGTCTTGGCTCTAGTCTACAAAGGATAGATGCCCGACCACATGGACTTGCTAATGGATAGGTGGGAGACATGGGCCGGATGAGTCTAAGGATCGTTCCGGACTGCATGGGCTCAGAATAGAATAGATGTAAGGACCATGGCCCTGCCCGACTCTAGAGAGCGTGTTGGATAGCATTGACTTACGGCGTGATCACGTATAAGGATGGAATCCGAATTAGAGACCTAACGAGGCTCTGACAGCGTAACACATAAGATAGGACCCCGAATGGGCCTTACCTTCCTACGGGAACAGGGTATGAGTCCAGGGGCGGGATGCTGGACTCCGACCGAGTGCTGCGGGGACTCGGATAGCGGTGACAGGTCCTGTATGATTGATGTGACCTTTGGGTTGAATTGTATGAATTATTAATGTAATGAATTATCGCAAGGTGATACGAATTGTATTGTTAAATACAAATGGGGCAATAAATTATCGTTGGACGATACAAAGGGTTTTTGACAAATACAAATGGGCCTACGAGCCGACTTTTTGACCTTATATACTTATGTATGATTGGAAAGGGGTAACTATGGGTTATTTCCTAGAATATGATATCACCCTAGCTATGTTGAGGGTCTTAAGGATTGAAACATTAATTATATGCAGTATAGTTGTCATTGTACTTTTCGAATTCTTCAAAGTACTGACCTCTCCTTCACGGGGGAGGCCACCTCACAGTTTTCAGGTAGAAGCTAGAGCTTGCTTCCTATGCCCATTGCTTCGGGAATCCTTGGAGAGAAGACGTGGTTCGTGCTTCCTCCGTTTCTGTTTTTTCAAAACTATTACAATAATGCTCATGGATAATATTTTCTGATAAACTATTTGAGGGCTCGTATGCCTAACTTTGCCAAGTGTGGCTTGAACACTTGTAATATTGTTTCCGCTGCTTTAATGAATATTTTACATTATGTTTGTATGAATGTACTATATGTGAATGATATTCATGACGCCTAGTATAGTATGAATATGCTTGACTGGGGTTGACTATTCATACTGTACGGCGGATTGTTGACGTGTCCGGGTAGGTTCGGGGCGTGACAATTAAGCTGGTATCAGAGCATTAGTCCGTAAACTTCATAATGAAGTCTCAAAATTCCTTTTTGAAAATGAATTTAAAAACCATGAGCATAAAAGGTTTTGTACTTAAAGAACTTTTGGTACTCGAGTTGCAAAGTCTCTAGTTGTTAAGATGACGCCCTTAACAATTGGTATCTCGGTGACTTGATCCAAGAGATGTCTTAAGTACCTATCTGTGAGTTGACAATTGATATGAGTCTAATGACTCATTCTAAAATTTCTTTCAGAAATAGGAGGTGGAAGCATTATGAATAAGGAGAACTTGGAATGGTTTGCACCGGGTGGAACCAGGCACGCCAATCGAGGAGAGTCTTTAGTACCAAGAGGTCAAGATATTCTAGAAGCTCAAATTGTGAGTGGTGTTCATGTTGAGACCAAGAAAGAGTCACCTTGTCAGGGTGAAACTGAACCACTCGGGGCTTCGAGTGAGGAAGTAGATGGTCATAGTGATGATGACATTGATAGTGCTCCAATAGAACAAATGGGCATTGTCATAGACTAGCTTCAACGAGAACGTGCGATGCTCTTACAATGATTCCAAGCAAGGCAAGTT